TAGAAATATGTAAAATGAACTAGTTCCATAGCCGAAAACATCTTACTTATCTTATAAGCTCTACTTATTCTGAAAATAACTCAAAAGAGCTAGTTTAATGCTCAAAACAAATTTTTGTAGCAATTTTAATTGACTTATCCAAAGAACTAGTTCATTATACGAGAACAAAATACAGGACATCCGTATAAAAACTTAAAGGAACCAGCTCAATGCTCCAACCAGACTTTTGTAATTTCCTGTTAGCTTGCTAATAACAATGAACTAGCATTGAACTGTTATACGGAACAAGTTCATTTATCAAGAGCACACACACACACACATTGAAACCATTCATTGACTGAACTCGGGCATAATTAAGCGAACCAAACCATAGCTGAGAGAACTAGTTGGCCACAACTTGAGCGCTTAGCTTGGACTGAGGCTTACGATATATATCTCAAGTGCCATAGCTGAGAGAGAGAGAGAGAGCGAGAGACCACAGAGCAGTCGTGCGACTTGGGTGACATGGAATAATTGAAAATTACATGGCTGCAAGCAGAAACAACTGTATTATGTGGGCAGGTGTGTAGAAATGCAGGTGTGTAGGTGTGTAGGCGAGTAAGTATAGGACTGTGTGTATGCTAATCATCTGTTTCCTTTCACACACACACACACACACACACACATGTATAATAGTTTAACGTATGAAATTTTGCAGGATATCAAAAGGCATGATCAAGGCATTTACCGTTGTCGTGTCGATTTTCGCACAGCTCAAACACAGAGCTTCCGTTTCAATTTGTCTGTAATAAGTGAGTATCCAAAATGCATACATATACACACTGTTTGGTACATATATAATCCTATCTACCTATCAATTGTTGCTGTTGTTTTTAGTACTTCCGGAGCAGCCCATCATACTGGACCGTTGGGGCCGTCAACTGAATGGCACACAATTGGGTCCCAAGCAGGAGGGCGATGATATTGTTATCACTTGTCGTGTGGTGGGCGGTAAGTAAGCCCAACTAACGTTGCTTAACCCCATTGCCAATGGACACGCCCCCATTTCTTTATACAGTTTTCTTTCGTTTCTTCTTTTTTTCTGTGTGTGTGTGTGTGTGTTGTTGCTCTACACATGACTATATCCGCTCGACCGGCTAGACAATTTCCTGTTAATTTCCTTAAAAGCTTGGGAAAGAAAAAAAAAAACTGTAAAAAAATTGAAAAAACAACCCAAGCCGCAGTTTGACCGAAAATGAAAATATCACAAAGTTTGCGTTTGCTTTGCTTTCGTTTTCTTTGCGTTTTATATTTTTTTTCCTCTTTATTTTAGCCTTGCCAAAACTTGACTTTTTAATTTGCGCTCCCAATGCTCTCCCGCTCTCCCTGCCTCTCCCTCCCTCTCCTTCTCTCTCTGTCTTTGTCTCTGTCCATATATATGTATGTGTATATGTCTATCTACAATTGTTTCTCTTCTGTTCGTCTCTTTCGACTCGATTTGATAGGTCGACCGCAACCGCAGGTCCGCTGGCTCGTAAATGGACTACTTGTCGACAATCAAAACGAGCACAATTCCGGCGATGTTATCGAGAATCGACTGTTGTGGCCATCGGTGCAGCGCAACGATTTGAATTCCGTATTCACATGTCAGGCATTGAATACGCAATTAGATAAGCCCAAGGAAAAGAGCTTCATACTGGATATGCATCGTAAGTGGGCCAAATTCCAATGCTCTACTAGATAGAGCTGTCGATATACATATATAGAGTATAGTATATACCATATGAGCCAAGAATGAGGAGTTTGAGTAATTAAGGTGCAGAGTAGTATATCATTTATCACATTATTTATCCACATATTAATATAACATCTATTTTATTTTAGATTTCCTTTGACTAGCTCAACTAAATGTACTGAAAACTTTCATTTGAATCTTAGCAATTCAATTAGTTAAATGAAAATACGATTGTTCAAGGGGAAAAGCTTTTAATTATTGCCAGAGCATTCAGTCAACAACTGTTGTTGTATAAACATAAACAAATCCAATGCAATATATTTCATGATTTCACGATAAACAAAGAACAAGTTGAATATTGCTCAAATATACATACATGTGTAGATATGTATGTAACGCCCAAGTAGCCATTAAATAATTACCACGTTTACAGTGAAATGAATGAATGAAGGGGCGTTAGACCTAACATTAACCTCGCTCCATTTTCAGCTGCACTCGTGCTGGCCATTAGCTATGCACAGGTAAGAGCAGGTGTGTAGTCAGCACTTGAGCTGAGACGGTGCTTAGATGCTATCGTACGTAGAGCAGATACAAATTGTTAAGGCTTCGCATTATTTATATAAACTTGACATGCTACAGTTAGCTGGAATAGCTTCAAGAAAAGTGGGTTTACATTGCGAATGTTAAAGATATGTTAATAAATGTTAATTAAAATATGCATATATGTAATTCTCAGATCTCTGTTTAATGCACTTGACTATCTATAGCAATTAATCAGAGTGTATTCAATTGCCATTATATAAATTCTAAACTGTTCTGTTCGCAGTGAAACCACTAACCGTTAAAATTCTGGATCCGCCCAGTTCAATGATTGCCGATCGACGCTATGAAGTCACCTGTGAATCGTCCGGTTCACGTCCGAATGCCATCATCACCTGGTACAAGGGAAAACGTCAATTGCGACGCACAAAGGTGAGTAAGGCTTGGGTTGGCCTGGAGTAGGCTTGACGCGCACCTGACCGCAATTGGCGTACCCAGGCCAGCGCTTGCAGGGGGGCGGGGGTCTGTTGACTGACTCACGATAAGTTATTGTATTTGCATAGGCAAGCCACAAGCACACAAACACACACACACATTCACACAGACTGCAGCTCGTTGGTCTTTGGGAATATGGGAAAGGAGGGTTGTGGCAACTCCCACTTGTTGTCGCTGGGCGTGGCCCACACTCGCCGCGCTCCACACACTCACCGTTAGAATAAACACAGAGATAATGTGATATAAACTCCACAATATACAACGTACAGCAACGCCTTGCCATGTCAGCTCACTGCCACGCCCCCGGCGTACGCCGGCACCCGCAATCCTTTGGCTTTTCATTTTATTTGCTACGCTTTTCCTTTTGCCATTTTCATATGTAGTTGTTGCTGTAGTTTTTTT